CAAAATCTGTTCCTGAGAAAAGAGCTGTTTCAGTATTGTATTCTGCTTAGCCCATTTCCAATTATTTCTCTTCAAATAATTTGTGTAATTTAATGGTTGAAAATTCCTATAACTTAAAAAAGAAATCTTATTGGCTCAATGTAAACACTGAAACCAAATAAACAGTCCTGCAAGGTATTTCTTTAGCTCTAATACAAGTGAATGTGCTTTCCTGGACTGTATGGACAGCTGTTGCAACATTTGTGATGATATATGAACTTCTGGAAGTTCAGATATGAAGGCAGCCTTTTATGGAAGGATTACTGTGCATGAATAAACATTTATATTATAATAGGAAAGGACATGCTAAGTTATTCATAAGGATCTTGTGACCTTAATAAAATTATGATTTTAACATCCCAGTTTCTCATGTAATTTTTTTGAGAATCTTTAAATGTATTTTTATTTGTAATGCATTAAATAAAAAGTCTCAGTGGAACCTCAAAATCCTTATATTTCTAAATTTGAAAATACTCTAAATGCATGTACAAAATAGCATAGATGAGCTAATGTGCAAATTTGACTTTGTCTTCCAAAAACCTTCATTCTAAAATTTTAAAAAAACCCTAAAATTGTGTTTGTTTTATATATGGATAGAAAAAAAAGTTCAACATAACCCAAAGACTTTACTAATTTTATATAAATTTCCCCAAATATACCTTATTACACAGTACAGTATAAGATTTCTTACCTACTAAAAAGATAGGAGATCTTATGATAAAATTTTGAAAATGGACTGTTAACTCTGTATGTAATAACTCTACACATACATGATTTAATCTCTTTTCCAGGATACGTTTGGTCATTAGGCAAATTTTTCTTTTGTAATTACAAGCGACCCTCACCATTTGCGGGGGATACATTTTTGTATCCCCCGCAAATGGCAAAATCCACGAATAAGGCACTGCGTTCACATCCCCAGCGACTGGGAGTGGGGGGGCACAGCTCTGGCGGGAACAGTGGGAGCCCGGCAGCGGTGGCAGGATCCTGGTGGCAGCAAGCGCAGAGCTCCCAAGGAGCTCCTGTAAGTGTATAAAGTGCATTTAAAATGTGGGTTCAGCTTTCTTGAATATTTGAAACCACAAATGCCAAACCCGCAAATAGTGAGGGTTTCCTGTATTCTTGAGTAATGATAGTGTATTTTTCTTTAAAAGCACTTTGTGTGTTTAATTTAGTTAAGGATTTAGCTTATAGTTATTGCTAACTCATATTTTGCCTTCTTTGTTATGCTGCATCTCAGTGGAATTGGTAGTATTTGAAAAAATTACCCATCAATGTATTAATGAATTCTTGTAGCAGTTCAGAGTCATACCAGACTGATCACTGTAAGGGTTAATTATACACTCTTCTTGGGAAAAAAGTTGATAGTTCAGAGATCAAACAAAGAATCAGAACCTTGTAAGGTCTGCATGATGCAGATAATGGGTCCTTTTCCTAGCTTGCAAGATTGTGATCCCAGAACTTTCTGCTTTTCAATTCTGATACACTGAGTTGAATTATGGAATTATTTAAAAGGAATGTATAGGAATGTAAAGAAAATTAGGGGGTTTTTTTTGCTTTTTTAAATACCTTAAGTAATTGGATCCACAGTGAAACCTGTTAAGAAATCTGTGGTATTTCAAAATTGGAAATATGATTCTTCATGCCAAAATATACTTAGCTGTCTTAGGTTCTGATACTGTTCTAGAGATATCATCTTGAGGAACAAATCTGCCATTCAATACACTGTCTGTACCATTTGAATTGGAGAGAGATTTTTCCTTGATACCATTTTAAGCTATCTGGGTCTGATCTGAAGCCTACTGAAAATAATAATGGTCTGCCCATTGACATCAGTGTGTTTTGTTTTGTACCCTACCATTGGATCAATAGTTTGTAATTTTAAGTCTTCTTTGCATTGTTCTTTCAAATAAATACGGACATTCATCTTGGAAAATCCTATTTTGAGAGACTCCTAATTGCAATTCTCTTGTAGTCAGTGAATCAAGTAACCACAATGTAGATGGTCTCTTAAATTAAATTTATAAACTGTTTACTTCTTAATACTTTGTTAGTTACTGGAACAAATAAATATTGTTTTTAATTTCCCAAAAGATGAAGGTTAATGTCAGAAAATATGGTACTGCAGAGAAAGTTAAAATACACCTCATTAAGTACAAACATGATGTGAATTTCAGTGTACTTACCACAGGTGTTTTGCATTAAAATATGTCTGCTTCATTCAGAACTATTTTAAGTAAGTTCACAGGGAAATGCCTTTTTGAATGTTTGTACTGGAAGAGCTGATATTTTATGTTGTATTCTTCTTTGCACTGTCTAAATACTTTTATGTTCTGCTTTTCAAATTTAAAAGTATTTTTCATAGTACATCATCTTTGCAGTTTGGTAACAGATTTCAAGCTATAATTAGAGAAAGACTTTAATTAAAAACCTAGTAGGTGCATACTGTAGAACGATAGCCGTTAGAATAAGTTGTCAAAAAGGACTGCTCGCTTGCTTAACATTAACCATGTTCTTTTTTGTTTGAGCTAAAGGCGTCATCTTTTGTATGGTTTTATAATAATGTCACATGTATTTTTATTGATTTTTGTCTTTGATCTTAAGAAATGTTATGATACTGTATATATGATATAAATTTACTATACTCATATTTTAAACAGTATGTGGTAAGGTTTACTGATTTGTTAGCTAGTTGTCTTGACAAATACACATGGTATCAATACTTTCCAATAATAATTTTTAGATTTGGATCACAGCTCAGTTTAAAAAAAAACCCACATCTTTCACATGCTTTCCTTGGTTTCTTGAAAAACATAGATAAAAGGATTATAATTAGAAACAGTGATGTCAGATTATATAACCAGACATAGAGTACTCGGTCACTTACTCTCAGTGTTCACTGTCTCCTTGAAAAATGTTTTAAATTACAAGAACATGGGAAGAAAGCAGCAATTTTTACTCTCATATTCTGACCTTTGAACTTTATGGTGTTGGAATTGATTGTAGATGCAGTGTTTACAGTTGCCCTTCCCTTCATGATATATTCAGATGAAAGCTTCTATGAGAATACTTTAAATGCCAAAGGCATTGGAATGAGTACTTGTTATTAAGTAACATTTTCATGGCTATGTTCATAGCTTTTATAAGAATTATTATGTCTGCTGTATTACCTCACTAAATAGTATTTTACCTCTCTTTGTTGTATACTTACAATTAAGAAATAATAGAAAAAATTAATTAGATTAATATCTCATGTCACCTATAATGGCCTTTGTTCCTGTTATTACTAAGAGACCAACTTATATATGGTTTGTTTAACACAGGGGTGGGCAATAATTTTGGCTTTTGGGAGGGCCACTTAATGAGTTTTGATGAGCTGATGAGGGCTGCAAGGGTAGCTCCACCCCTTGATAGGTGCCCCATCCCTGGACTTGGAACCAGAAGTCCCACCCCTAACCCCTGACCTTTCCCATCGGATGTTCCCCCTGCCCCTGGAAGTACTCCTTTTGGGACCAAGGTTGCCATCTGAACCAGAAAAAAAAACCAAATCATATACTAAAAGTCAAACACCTACTATAACATATTTTAATTTTATTACAAAAAAAATTATTTTCATGATTTGTTTTCTGTAGTGTATACAGAGATGATTGCATAATAGGTCAAAATAAAGTCTTACTCTTGTATATTGTGTGGTGTGTGTGTGTGTATGATAGGGTGTGGGCAGGTGTGGAGGATGGGGGGCTGTGAGCCCGCACCACACACACCCCTGCTCATGGTGCACAGCTCTTGCTGCTGGCTGCAGCAGCAGCAGCAGGCAAGGGCCCTCAGGGCACTCATTGCCTGCGCAGTCACTGGCACCCAGCAGCACATGGCTCCAGCCAGAGCTGCGTGTGGTGGCAAGGAGTGCAGTCAGCCTGGCCTACCTCTATCATGTGGGGTTCTCTGCGATGCACATGTAAGTGACACTGGGACAAGCTCTACATGATAGAAAAGGCTGCCTTCCACACTCCCTGCCACCATGGTAGCAGGGGCGGGCCTCCCTGCCACTTCTGGCAGAGTCCTGGCAGCTTCACATGATGGGGAAGGCAGCTAGCTCCATTGTACAGGGCTTCCCCCAGTGACATGCGAGTGCCAGAAGCTACATATGTGCTGGAGGGAGCCCTGCATGATAGAGGTGCACCACCAAGTGCAGTGCTGGCTGGAGCCACACACCAACTGTCAGCAGCACCTGCACAGGTCAGAAGTGGCCCAACCACCCACCCTTGTGTGCAGAAGGGCCTGGCCCAGCTAGGACGCAGCTTCCAGGTGGGGCTGCTGCTGCCACTGCTGCAGCTGCCAGGGGACCTGCGAGCACCCACCACCTACTGCTGCAGCTGCCAGCAAGGGCTATGCACCATTTGGTGGGGGGGGAGTCTCCACAGCCACCACCCTCCCTCATACCCACACGCTGTACACCACAGCTCCCATGTTCCCACTGCCCTGCTGGGCATAGTTTTTGCACTCCTGCCAGCCCCAGCCCCATGCTCCGTGCCCCTGCCCAGCTGCACCTTCCCCACATCCCCACTGCAGCTCCTGCCTGAAGTGAGTGCAGCAGCAGGGAAACAAGGAGGAGCTGCTGGATGTTGGGAAAGCTGAGCAGGTCCCCCAGCGGCTGCAGCAGTGGCAGCAGGAGCCCCACCCAGAAGCTGCATGCTGGCTGGGCCGAGTCCTACCTTGCACAAGGGTGGGAGTAAGTTGTGTTGGCTAGGTGGGGTATAACTAGTTGGTGGGTGTCTGCAGGACGAATGAAATTGCCTGGTGGGCTAGATCTGGTCCATGGGCTGTATTTTACCTGCCCCTGATTTAACCAACCGTAGATTGTGACTACTTAAAGTAAAATATCCATTTAATGCCCTCACTAGCTGGTCATGTTTGTGTTTCTACTATAGTTTATTAATATATTATGATTATTTTTCTTAAAGCATCAGAGACTCCTTGGCATGCTGGAAATAGAGAAAGAAATGTTAGCTGAAAGGGTAGAAGAAGCTTTGATGCAAGAGTCACGAAAACATAAGGTAATATTTATATGCTTGATGCTATACCATTGAAGTCAATACAAGTTTTGCACTTTTTTAGCATTTGAAACAATTTTTCCCACTGCTCAAATGTTGTATTGCAATTTAACTTTTCATATTATTTGCAGGAAGTACTGGAAAAATGTTTGGATGAAGAAAGGAACAGAAGTAAAGAGGCTCTGGCAGCTGCTGCAAAGGTATCACCAGTTAAATAGCAGATATGCAATATAAATACCATGTGTGTCATTAGGAGAGCCAGGTTAAGAAACTGACTCGTATTTCATAATCAAATCCATTTAAGTCCAGATCCATTAAAAATTATGTTTGTAAGTATGTTTAGGGAGGAATATTGTTATAGAAGTCATGAAGACATCTAAAGCCATCAGAGATCTCTGGTGATAGAAAATGTAATATCCTATTTTCTTTTAATTAAAATAGCACATAGCTTTTTAATTATACTGGATGCATCCACATGAGACACTAGCTGTGCAGTAGCCTAATAATACTGCACAGTAGTGCATCACAGCAAAAACAATGCTAATACACAACTGCCTAGTATTATTAGGCATCACTGAAAGGGCGTGCGCCGGCACTACTGTGATGTAACACCGGTTATTGCACAGTGAATTAGTACTTGATTATACAAGTACTAACCTTAATGCACAGTAACTACAGCACATTAGTGAATGTGTAGATGCTCTCACTGAGAAGTTAATGTATTATAGTGGAGTTATATGTGTTATCTAAACAAAAATTAGTTTTTATACCATATATCCAACAGCAATATTATCTTTTTGATTTCAAGAGCCAGATATTGGGGTCTTCATCCATGCGTCAAGTCATCTAGCTCCAGATCTAACTGAATGATTTTTTTTTTTATATAAAGTCATTTTTTAAGGAAAAGCATAAGCCGTTTGACTTAAATTAAGTGAAGTTTGTCAAATGTCTTTGGTCAAAAACTCTAATTTCATTGCCAGAAAATTTTGGTTATTTGATTTCAGTTTCCTCGTGAGATTCAGTATGTTTTTAAACAAGTAGATCATTTGGCTTTTTATATGATTTGTTTAATGCTTCTCAATAATAAATGCATTGAACACAGAAACATTAATATTATGAAATCAGGTAATAATTTTTGAGTGACATTGGAATGTTATGTTTTGTGGCATAATCCAACACAAATGGGATTCAATTATGTGAACAAAATTGCTGTCTGTCTTTCCAGACACTGAAAGAATCTTTAGTAATGTCTCGCCGCATGCAAGTGATTCACCTATGTTACTCCGTTCTTTATAGCTTCTTATATTGTTTTTATAACCATACCAGCCAATTGCCCATCAAGAATGACAGGCGGGGGGAGGGGTGGCTGGGGACAGAGGCCTGCATCCAGCCCCACCCCTCCACCTTTGAGGCCAGGCCCACTCCCCCTCCCACCCCACTGCTTCGGGGCCGGGCCGGGCTGCCCCCTCTATGTCCCCTGGCCCCACCCCACCCTTCACTCTGTTGCCACTGCCTGTAGGGCTGGTGGGGGCATGGCCAGCGGTACTGGCTTTGCCCCTCCCTCCATCTGCTCCATTTTCGCGGCCTGCAGGGGGGATGGAGCCAGTGCCTGCCCCGCTGTCTGTTCCTCCGCTGTTGCCTGCCAGCGGGGGGAGTGCTGGGTGGGGACAGAAGCCTGGGGACAGGCTCTCTCACCCCTGCTGCCTTGGGACCAGTGCTGGAGCCACTCCCCCCACACCACCCCACTGGGCTGACAGGGACAGAGCCCAGCACCCAGCCCTGTGCCCCTGCTCCCCTCATCCGGCCCCACCTCCCCATTCGGGCCTGACCCCGTTCCCCCCTGGCGGTATGTGTTCATGTCCAGGGCTGCCCCTCCCCATTCCCCCCTCCCCTCTGTGGCGGCCCTGACCCTGTTACCCACCCCCTCACGCTGCCACCGTCTCCTCCACGGAGTGGGGGCTGGGGAGCAGGCCAGCTGTGCTGGCCTACCCTGTCCCCACTGTCATGGCGGCACTCCACCACCTACTGTCCCTACCACTTTATTCACGCTCTGATTGGCTGCCAAGACGGTCAGTTAGAGTGCAAATAAAGCATTACAGGCAGACAGACTAAGGCTTTTATATAAAGAATTGTCTGAGCACAACACAGTAGGGGCCTTGTTGCACATTGCACTTTTTGCTGCCCAAACGTTGATCAGTGTTAGTGCTAGCTTGAGTTTGGAGCAATCATACCTTAAGACTAAAAACCTTCTCTGACTGTCCCCCTCCTGCACAGCTGTGACTTGCCACTAGAGGGCAGGCAAATGGGGGCAGACTAGGAGCTATATCTGTGAATTGCCACTACAGGGCTGGTGAGCAAGGACAGGCCTTGAACCCTGCTCTAGGTGGGGTGTGTTGCACAGGTTGGTGGGGCAGGGTTATGAAAGTGGGTGGCAGAGAGTTAATGGGATGTGGGTTGGTAATGAAATGGAAGGTGAAAAGGAAATAGGGTTGGGGGTTGGGTGGTGAAATGAAGGAAGTCATAGGATCACGGAAAATTAGTGTTGGAAGGGACCTCAGGAGGTCATCTAGTCCAACCCCCTGCTCATAGCAGGACCATCCCCAATTAGATCACCCCAGCCAAAGCTTTGTCTAGCTGGGTCTTAAAAACCTCCAAGGATAAAGAGTCTGCAACTTCTCTGGGTAACCTGGTCCACTATACTAGTGAGAGAGGTTGTCTCATATCTAACCTAAATTTCCCTTGGTGCAACGTGAGACCATTGCTCCTTGCTTTGTCAACTGCCACCACTAAGAACAGTCTAGCTCCATCTTCTCTGGAACCACCTTCAGGTAGTTGAAGGCTGCTATTAAATCCCCCTTCAGTTGTCTCATCTGCAGACTAAATAAACCCAGTTCCCTCAGCCTCTCCTCATAAGTCTTGTTCCCAAGCTCTTAACTTCTTTTGTTGTCCTCTGGACTCTCTTCAATTTGTTAACATCCTTTCTGTAGCAGGGGGCCCAAAACTGGAAACAGTACTCCAGATGTCTCCTCAGCAGTGCAGAATAGAGGGGAAAAATCACTTCCCTCCATCGGCTGACAATACTCCTACTAATGCAGCCCATTATGCCATTCTCTTTTTTCACAACAAAGGCACACTGTTGGCTTATATTCAGCTTTTTGTCCATTGTAAGTCCCAAGTCCTTTTCTGCTGATCTGCTGCTTAGCCAATGAGTCCCCAACCTGTACCGGTGCATGGGATTGTTCCCTCCTAAGTGCAGGACTGCACTTCTCATTGAACCTCATGCCAAGTTCAAGTTAGCCACTGAGTGAAAAAATAAAAAGAAGTAAAAAAAATAAATTAAAAAGAAATAAAGTGGAAGTGAATGAAAGAAGGTAACATGCTTTAATAAATTGTGATTGTGATTGTGATTGGAGTGTAGGGGGTGCTGGTTGTGCTTCCTGGGGTGACTGGGAGAGAGGAGCAGTAAGAGAACACACTTTTGGGGGAGCTGCTACTCCTGCCCTAGGATGGAAGGCCCAGCTCAGTAGGAACCAGTTTTGGCCCTTATCTTGTTCCCTTTCCCATTCTCCCATAGATCCCACTGCTGGATCTGTCCCTTCCCTGCAATCTGGCTAGCTGGCACGTACTCTGCAGGCTTTTTGCATAGGGTCGCACTCAGGCTAGTGACAAAAATAAAGGACAACAAAAAGTCCTTCTTCAGATACACCTCTATCATATCCTCCCTCAGCTTTCTCCCTTCCAAACTGCACTTGCCTTTTTATATTTGATTTGAACAGGTAGGAATTTAAACTCTTCATCATTTCTAAGTCATTTTTCATTATCCAATAGCTTGTTCCATGGTAACTATCAAATAGCTGTTCTATGGATATTCTTTCTGGATATTTGTACTGATGGCATAGACGTGAAAGTGTCTATCTCTTTCATTATTGTGAAGAAACCTCCCTCTCTCTGGTTCTCCTCTTGGGACAAACCGAGTGACCCTTGTATTTCCTGGGTTTCTTCACGGTACTGCTGGTCAGGCAGGTTACTTAGGCAGGTAAAATTCCAAAGGGAGGAGAAATCTGCTCCTTCTTTTGTCTGTTTCCCACCTCTGCAGGTCATGTGATTAGCCATCTCACCTGGTAAGGGCGGATGTCATTTGGAAGCACCAGTCAGCAGCCAATGGGTCTGCTGCTGTTTGGAACTTAGTGTTGAGGTCAAGACAAGTGTATATAGGGTCCCTTCTTCCTGGAAGCGGGGCAGACATTTTGGGGGTACAGCCAGTAAACCATGCGGCCTCCAGAGCAGGCTCCATCAGTCTCTGGATAGAACTATGAGTAACCTACCAGAAACCTAGCCAGTAATTTAGGACTGAGTGTTCTAGATGTGTATCAAAAGAGCTAAACAAGCCCATACGGATTAACTCAAGGCAGTTCCCCTTTTAGTATTCTGTAGTTTGTATTCTTTCTCCACCCCATCCCTCTTTAATCAATAAATCTATCTGTCTAAGAATGTCACACAGTGTGTACTTAAGAGGGAAGGGATCAGCTTTGGGGGACCACTTCTCCTGAGCAGGAGACAGCTTGTGAATGCTTCAGGCTAAAGGAAGCACCCCAAAATCTCACGGTGGGTTAAGCACCCTCAAGATCCACAAGGTCTGTGTACCCTGGGGGGCACAGAGCCCAAACAAAAACTAGACCCTAGGTGGTAGCAGTGGTTACCTCAGGCTTGTGGGTTGCTCCAGGAAGGGGGTCAGCCAGATGTAGGCACCCCAGGGGAGATACTCTAAGTGGGGTTTTTGGTTGGGTGCAGTAAGGTGGGCGGCTCAAAGCAGGAGTGCCCCCTACTGTCCTGTCACAATTATATCCTGTAAACTTGCCAATCCTGGCTAAAGGAAATAATTTGCTTTACTCAGGCATTTGTTTGTGCTTTTGTTTGTCATTCACTTTTACTTCATTTGTTTCAAAGATTGAAAAAGAAGCAATGCAAAAGGCCATTTTAAAAGCAGTTGAAGAGGAAAGAAAAAACATGGAGAAAATTCATGCAGAGGAAAGAGAAATATGGCAGGCAGAACGTACCAAGGACAAAGAGAGGATTGCTCAAGCTGTTGAGGAGGCCATGCAGGAGCAGAGAAAAAGCAGTCAAGTTAGTACCTTTTAACTTTGCACTAAGCTGGGCTTGTGTTTCTGTTTGAGAAAATATGTTTTCCTTTCAATACCTATAGAGCTTTGTGCTAACTCCTCTAAAATACGAGCTTCTAGTATTTATTAAAATCTATAGTAAGTTTTTAGGCACTTAATGATTATGACAATTATGTTTGTATTCTCAGGATATGTATATCTTATATTTATTTATATTTAGAATGCAATATCATTTTTTCCTTTCTTATACAATCGCCTTGCATTCCAAACTCTCTTTCAAAAAGTATGTTGTCTAATCTATGGCAATAATACATTTTCTAGGAAATAAGTTATACTTTACTATGTAAGTATCCCTTTTCAGTTTTCACTGGATGGTGTAATTTCCTTTTCTGACTTAAACTGTTGTGCAGAAGTGGTTTGTGTTCACATCTGTCTATATTTCAGAGGTGAGAGAGTTATATAGGCAAACTACATCCAATATACAAAATAAGGTTTTTGGATGAAAGATTCAAATAATTTCACTATAATACAATTTTGGAAATAAAAACATTTTTAGAGGCCCTTTGTACATGTTACAAGTATTGCACAATTACTTGAGACCAGCTACATGTGCAAAGTAGCTATCACACAATAAAAGCTCCAACCAGCTATAAAGTTAGACCTTGAAAATGTGTTTTAACTTCATAGCTGGTTGGTATCCAGCTTTGATTTGCACGTGTAGCAGGGTCTCCTCTGCAGCTGGGAGACCATCAGCTATCAGGGCTCCCAGCCATAGGAGTGCAACCCCTGAGCCCTGGGGGTTGTGGCTGCCATGATTTACAAGTGTCAGGGTGGGGGTGAAACCTGGTTCCACACGAGGCTCTTGGTCGCAGCTGCACCTCACCTGCAGCTGGGACCAAGGGTCCTGCAGCTGATGGGTCTCTGGGTTCCAGCTGTACCTCACCCCCAGCTGGGGCCCAGAACCCCATCAGCTATAGGACTCTGGGTGCCAGCTATGGATGAGGTGTATCTAGGGCTCAGAACCCCATCAACTGTGGGATTCTGCATCCTGGCTGCACATGGCCCCAGTGCTAGGAGCCCCCTCAGCAAAGTGGGGTTCTCAGCTATAGGTGCCTGCTTGCAGATGCAGGGGGAGCCCAGGTTCAGGCTTCGCCTTCATGAGCAATAAGGTGCAGCTGGCCTTAATGTGTGATCCCACAATAATGCCTTGTGCCATGCATGTGTGACATGGCAGGAGGCATGATTGTGTAGATCACACATTAGATCCAATCATTCCTTTACTTGCATGTGTATAGGGGCTCTAAGGAACCAATCTGAAGATGGTGTGTACCAAATGACAGCTTATATTAGATGCCAGAGGTGTCTTTCATATATCTTAGCAATCAGCTGAAAACTACATGATATATCTGGAACGTCATGCAGATTTCCGACTAGGACATATGCAAGGAGTGAGGATTTTTGGGGGGTGGTATCTTTTATTGGATCAGCTGTAATTGGGGGAGGTAGTAGATGAGCTTTCAGGCTTACAAAGTGTCCTTCTTTAGTTCTGGGAAAGAAACGGACACAGCTTGAGCTAAAAAACAGTAGCTTGTGTAAAACTCCATTTGTAAAGTAAAGTAGTTTACTTACAGCCCTACTCAATTTATTTAATATAGGAGCAAAGGGACATTATAAGGAACAGCTAAAGGCAGGAGAGATGCAGTACAAAGGATAACCGCCTTAGTGGCAGAGCAAGGCCATTCAAAAAGGAAGAGAGTCATTATTACCTTTGGAGTACAGAGAGATTGGCAGGGATTCTAGATAGGTTATAATGAACCATATAGTCTATGTCTGTGTTTACTCCCTGAATTTTAGTAAATCCCATGAGTTTATACATTTTTGTATCCACGCCCATCTTCTAAAGGGGTTTTGTAAATTTCCCTCGAGCATGAGTATTGTGAGATTGAAAAGTGAGTGGTTGTTTTCTGAAAAGTGTTCTACCCATGTTTGTGTGCCTGTGTCTTTTATCCTTTTCCTGTGATCATTCATTCTGATGTTTAGCTTTTGCCTAGCTTTACCCACATAGATTCCATGAGAGCATTCAATGTACTGGATAAAGTGTGCCACATTATGGAATAAACACATGTAGGATCCATAAATTCAGATGGTTTTATTTTAGGAGATGTCAGTTGCTGTGGTAATAGAGATAAGTTGACGAGCTTTGCATTTATTATTAAGGAAGGGTTGTGCCCCATTTGTTGCCTGCCAATCAGAGAAGAGTTTCCTTCCGATGATGAGTTGGGCAGGGTTTGGGACTGTCTGAAAGCCAGGAGCAGGCGAGCTGGGAATAGTTCTCTCAAGGTCTGTTCATTTTCTGAGTATGGGCTGAAGTTGTTTGATGATCCTTCTTATTAGCTCAGGTGTAGGATGGTAGATAACTACCAGAGGTATGTGGTCAATAAGGATTTTCTTTTTTTATTGGAGTAATTTGCTGTGAGGCATTGGGTATAGGGGATGGGCTTTTTCAAAGATATGATCTGTTTCTCTGGTGGAGTGCCGTTGCTGGGTAAAGGCATTTTTCAGGTTGGTAAGGTGAGAGTCATGAGTATTCTCCTCAGAGCTGATGCAGTGGTATCTGAGGGCCTGACTGTAAATTATAGTTTTCTTGGTGTGTTTGGAATGATTACTGGTTTTGTGGATGTAAGTATGGTGGTCCATGGGTTTTTTTGTTTATAGTGGTTTGTAGGGCGTCAGCCTAGATGTGGATGATGGTATCCAGAGAGCTGCTGTTAGTGTAAGAGTGTACCAGAGAGAAATTTGATCAGGAAAGAGTAGTTGCTGAACCTGTGGTGGAAGTCAATAAGCAAGTCCAGATTATATGGTATGATAGAGATTTGGTGGTGCCATTAAAAAAAACCCAACTTATTTTAAGAAACTTATGAAGAGGTTAGATAGATTTGCACCTTATAGATTAAATCAGAGATGTATACCATAAGCTTTCATGATCCCAGGCTGATTTAGTTAGTCTATAAAGTGCAAATCTGTCCTGCCTTCTGCCTGACTTCAGACTAACGCGGCTAACTACCTTGCTTTACTCATAAAATAGAAGTTGATAAATTGGGAAACCATCTTTGGACTCATAGCTGTGTCCGTGATTTGGAGAGAGCAACATCTGTTAAAAGTGAAATTGCGGGTTAGAGCTGAAGTAGATGATTTATGCAGTATGTTGTGGTTACAAATGTGAGTGTTGTCCATGTTCTTGCACATATTTCAGGCAGGCAGTTGTGGTGTTAAGTGTGTGGGCTAGTGAAATCCATGTTTGTAAGAATAGCCGTCTTGTGGGGAGGTGGTTGATGGCTCAAGATCTTGTTGAGGAAATCTGGTGTCATGTAGAAAATTTACTCTGAGTGACAGGCGGTCTACAACATCACACCAATACTACTAAGACATATAATTTGTATGCTAACATAGCTTGCCTGAGTATAGGGTTTCATAGCAGACCTATATTGTCATTTAAATTATTTCTTCCATAAGTTTTATTCTTTGAGTAGATACAGACCAAATTTAATTATCTTACAGTTGATACGTGCAAAAGACAATGACCCTAAAATCAGTTCTGAAATGTCAGAACAAAAGCAATAAAAGGTATGTATGGTTCTGAACAGTTAAAAGTAAAAAAATAAAATAAAAATATGCTTCCCAGCAGAATGACAGCAGACATGATTTCATTACCTGCACTGTTTTCAGTCCTTCCTGATTCAAAATCATCACCTCCAAGCTTAATATTTATTACTATGGTTTGTATCAAAGAATGAAACTGCTGAGTTTAATACAACGAAATGGTCAGAAGAAAAAGGGGAAAAGCCCAACTTCCATTGGTCATAAGTATTTATAAGTTATCCATGTGTAACTCTTCTGCCAGGCACTAGATGGCAGCAACAAAGGCCAGATTTATATTTGGAGATTTTACACAAATTTTCTGTTTTGACCCTACCTAGGCACTTGGAAAATAACTTTTAACGGAGTGGTCCAAAGTGAACAATCTGAACAATCTTTTCCACTCACAAGCAATGGTAAGCTCTGAGTTCTGACAGATGTGGATAAAAAAACCCCCAGCACTTTATCAGAAGAGGAATCGCGTCAGTTTGACCTGGCTCCCTAGCATCTGTATAGCTCGTACACTCCAGCAGGGCATTTTTGGCACTAACAATCAGCTATTAGATAAAAGCACCAAAAAGCCCTGCTGAAGTGCAAGCTGTACAGATGCTGGGTCAAAGTGGCATGACTCCTCTTCTGGGCATGCATTACTCTTGGTCCAGGAGCGCACCAAGCTGAAAGTAAAGCAATTATTTAAAACCATAAATAGTTAAGTCTAACACAGTCACTGTCAAACAACCTGTTTTGGGCTTGATGATATAACTTTAGTCTGGGAGTGGTTCTGCAGCTGTTTTTGGAGGAATTAGCTAATTGTGCCTGATTGGGTGTGATTGCAATGTGAGCAAGGAGGTTGGACAGAAAGCCAACTCTTGCCAGAAGTCAGCAGCTAGTGACCTATATAGGACCAGTGACCAGGACAGCAAACATGAGCGTTTGAGGGAGAATTCACTGAGAAGTTGTCCAGGAAACTTTTCTTCTCATCCTTCACTGTAAGATACCTAGGTGGAAGCAAGTAAAGGAAGAAGAGTTTTTTTTTCCCCAGAACGTAGCAGCAGCAACAGCAGAAGAAGGAGCTAGCAGTATAGTCAAGAGGATGTTGCATTGTCCAAATAACTGCCACTGTGAGCGCTTCCTTTGCTTATTTCTGTGTGGGCTTTGTCCAGGTGCAGCCACTGACCACTGAGGCTTCCACCCAGGTTCTGAGCTAGCTTTTCAGGAACTGTGGCCTGCATGTCTCTGCCAGGGACAGGTAGCTGGAGGAGTGCTTATGGTGTGAATAGGTGCCCCCGGACTCTCTCAGGAACAGTTAAGAGAGCCACAGGAGGAAGTGGATAGGCTCAGAAGCATCCCTGAGCGTGAGGCCTTCAT